CTCGAAACGGACGTCACGGGAGTCAAAGAACCGGTGAGAGGGAGGGTGGTAAAAGGTGAAGTCAGAGGAGTCCTCAGGGAAACCAAGGAAGACACAAGGAACGGCGCGAGGCGAGAGCTTGTCCGCGGAGGTGTCGCGGACAAGAGCCAAGCACCCCCAGACACGAAACCTCGACGCGACACCAGGGGACCCTGTCCAAAGACTGGTCGGTGAAGCCTCCGGCCGAGAGACGCGTGGCCAGAGGTTCAGCTGGTGCGCGGCGTACCTGACTGCGTATGGCCACAGGAAATGGGGGGCACGGGCGTGAGTCAAGGAGGTGCGCGCAATCTCCATGACCAGGCCTATGCGACGCTCAGCAACCCCATTCTGCTGTGGGGACTCCGGAAGCGTCCAGGACTGACGAATGCCCTGTTCGCGACAGAATCCAGCGAGAATGCCGGAGCGAAACTCGCCCCCGCGGTCGGAGTGGAGACAGCTGACACGACGACCACGAGTGTCCTGGGTGGTGAGCAACCACCGGATCAGCGTAGAAGTCACCTCAGACTTCCTCGCCAGGGGGAACACTGTGGTGTAGCGGGAGTAGTCGTCAACGACCACAAAAAAGAAACGCTCACGCTCAGGGCCAGGGCGAGGAGAGGGGCCCCAGACGTCCAAGTGCAGCATCTCAAAAGGCTCGGTGGCCGGACGAAGGGAGGAGGAGTGAGGGGTGGCACGCAGCCTACCCTCGACGCAAGGACCGCACGGTGGTGCAAGGGACGGCGGCAGCGACGGCAAGACACGCGGGAGACCTAAGACCAGACGCTGACTAGACATAGCACGCAGACGTGGAAGAGAAGGGTGCCCCATCCGGTGGTGCCACAAAACGGTGGGGTGGGCAAGCGACCGACAGGAGCAAGACGCAGCGACTGGACTGGACGCGACAACCTGAGGGGACGGAACCACCTGGTGAGACTAGGGGGAGGGACAGGAACTGGGAGGAGTGGCTGCTGCGACGGCGGCCGCTGTGGCTGCGGCTGCTGCTGCTGCCGCTGCTGAGGCTGCTGCTGCTGCTGCTGCAGTCGCTGCTGAGCGCGCGGGCCAGTGTGAAGAGTGTAGAGACCGGAGCCCGGCTCAGCAGCAAAAGTGGCGAGAGGCTGGTAAGAGTCCCCGTCAACACACACCGCAGTCTCTCCAGAAGGCTCAAACCACACACCCACGTGCTGACTCACAAGGGGTCGCACGCCCACCAAGTTCCGGGAGAACGAGGGGACGTGAAACCCAGTGAGAGACCCAGAAGGAGCAGCCGGACACGGCAAGGTGGTAGTGTGACGCGCGGTGACTGGTCCCGAAGTGGGATCAGCCAGCGCCACAGAAACAGGCGCAGGAAGAGGCGTAAGTGTCGTGCTGTCACGAAAGAAGCAGTGAGAGGCTCCAGAGTCCAGCGTGAACGACAGCGAACCGTCCTCTGAGGTAGCCGCTGGACTAGAGTCTACACAAGAACCTACACTAGCAACAGGCAACTGAGCAAGGCTAGCACCTAAGCTAACAACACCAGAGTAAGCAGAGTCAGAAACACTAGAGTCAACAACAGCATACATAGCATGAGGAGCACCAATCAGATCAACTAACTGCTCAGCAGACATGCCCCACAGAGCGGAGCCGTAGCGCTGAACCAGAGGAAGCCAGTCAAGGGCAGGACCGCCAACCCCGTAGGCCAACCGGACCGTGTCAGTGAGCTGAGCAAAGCACTGACCAGGGGGGTGAAAGCGGCCACAAGGGTGGCCCCGACGAGGACCTGTCAGAACCTGATAGGTGCAGGGAGGGTAAGCAGCACCACGCTGGGGCTGACGCAGCCCCGACCCCGGAGCCAGCTGCTGACGCTGCTGCTGCTGAGGCTGCTGGGAGGAGAGGGGCTGCTGCTGCTGCTGAAGCCGCTGCTGACGCTGAGCCTGGTACCACGCCGCTGCTCCACCTAGCGGGGCCGGCAGTACAGGAGACGACTGACGAGCTCGGGTGTCGCCACCACCAGCAGGCGCAGTGGAGTCACCAGCCGCTGCACGAGAGGTCTCTCCAGACGCTGCACTCCCACCACCGCCAGTCGCAACAGCACCCCCACTACCTCCGCTACCTCCGCCTCCACCTCCACCAGAACCACCTTTCTTGCCCCCCTTGCCGCGGGACCGCGACGCAGTCGTAACAGCAGCTGCAGTCGCGTCAGTAGCGGCAGTGGCAAGAGAGGCAGTGAAGGTGGGTAACTGCGGGACTGTGCACCCGTGGAAGAGTGGGGGGGGCACAGCACCAGAGGCGGCAGCTACCGAGCGAAGGTTGCTCTCGACGTCCTTGAGCGCAGACTCAAGGACCTCAACTGTCAGCTCACTAGGGTGCTTCAGCAGGAGCGCGTCACGTACGGAGGCAAGGCGGTCAGGGAGGCTAGTGGCGATGAAATAGATAGTAATCGCCATGGGGGGAGGAAGCAGTGCAAGCTGTGCCTCAGTGCAAGCAGCGCGGTAACTAGCGTCGAGCGAGCGGAGGTGAGCGATCAAGTCAGCAGAGCGCTCAAACGAGGCGAGATCAGGAAACAGGAACGGGAGGAAAAGACGGCCAAGAGAGACAGTAGCGGGAGTAGAGTAGCGGGCCTTAATCGCAGTGAGGTACGCAGCAGCGGTGCGAACCTGAGTGAAGTGGACCTCCTCTGACTCAGGGAGGAGGCTGCTGAGTGCGATGCAGGCCGCAGCGTCACGCGACGTCCAAGCCGTCCTGTCAGCGCGCTGACGGGCAAAGCGAGCCGTAGCAGCATCGTCAGGGGCAGGACCTAAAGCGGCAGGCTCGGGGGGCTCGGGGAGGTCACCAGTAGCGTGCGACCAGAGGGTCTCGCCCCCCTGGACTTGACTCTCTAACAGACGGCGAGCGCGAAGGAGCCAGACGGAAAAGTCAAGAGGTCTGCCGTCAGCGTCGAAACGAAGAACTCGCGGAGTCGCCATAGCGAAAACTAACGCGAACGAGCAGGCGAGTAACAGCAGGAGGTAAGAGGCAAATTAGGGTTCAGGTGGGACTTAGTCGCAGCGGAAGAGCGGGCTAGAGCGACGGGCCAGGGCGTAGGGTCGACGGGACGGGGGAAAGGGCGGGCACGATGCGACGGGGCAGGGTGACGCGACGGGGGAGGGCGACGCGACGGGGTAGGGAGACGGGACGGGGCGACGGGACGGGGCAGGGCGACGGGACGGGACGGGGACGGGACGGGGACGGGACGGGGCAGGGGCGACGGGACGGGACGGGGCGACGGGACGGGGCGACGGGACGGGACGGGGCAGGGCCGCGGGACGGGACGGGGCAGGGCCGCGGGACGGGACGGGACGGGACGGGACGGGGCAGGGCGACGGGACGGGACGGGGACGGGACGGGGCAGGGGCGACGGGACGGGACGGGGCGACGGGACGGGACGGGGCAGGGCGACGGGACGGGGCAGGGGCAACGGGACGGGGCAGGGCGACGTGACGGGGGGAAAGGGCGCGACGCGACGGTGGGAAAGGGCGCGACGCGACGGGGGGAAAGAGCGCGACGCGACGGGGGGAAAGGGCGCGACTCGACGGGGGGGAACGGGCGCGACGCAACGGGGGAAAAGGGCGCGACGTGACGGGGGGGAAAGGGCGCTAGGCGACGGGGGGAAGGGCGCTAGGCTCGGCACTAGGCGCGGTAACAACGGAACCGGTACGAACGAGAGGTAGGATCAGGCTCGGGAGATACGAACGGAGAACGGAGGAACGGGATCCCACAGGATCCTAACCTAACTGATACCATGTCAGAATGAGGAATGGATGATGCATTGATGTTGGTTGGGGTACATATAGCTAACCCTAAGTTTTGTACCCCCTAAGACAAACCTCACTATAGGCTACAACATTTGACACAAAAGTGCGACCCCCAACATTCACCATGATAATAGGGCGGGTCAAATGCGTATGCCCGAATGCGGTTGAAAAAGGTTAAGGCTTGATCCAAAGCGGTCTAATAAAAACAAAATACGGCTGGGTTTGGTTTTCCCCGAATACATGCATTGTGTGACCCGCCCTTAGGGAATTTGGGTGATTTACCCTGACATTTTTAGCTCTGACACACAAAAGGTGGTAGGAGTTTATCTCGTAAACCAATCCCTCTATAGCACAACTCAACCTGGTGTACAAATCACAAGCAGCTATGGGTCGTCTACAACACTGTATGGCATGCAAAGAATTATTCCTTCCTATTTGATAAGAGTCAAGCCAGAAGTGATACAAACTGCTGTGCCTGTTCAGAAAGAAACAATATTATTTCAAGATGCTGCTAGAAGATAAGCAAAAAGAAACAATTACCGCCCTAACCCCTTCTCCCCCACCAACTGGTGATTCTACAAGAAACTGAAAACCCTCCCAGAACTCAGCTATAGGGTATTCCTGGCGAGTAGTCACAAAATGGGGCATCACTAGGGTGATGTACCATTCTGCAACACATTGCACCTACAAATGAAATCTTCGCACCGCAGCGTATCTCGTGGTTTGTGACGCAAGGGAGTGACGCGCGCCAGGAATGCACCCTCAAGACTTCATGTCAGCCATCTACCCTTCACGCAACCTGCGTACACGAGCACTGGCAGTTCATGGGAGAGCTGCCGCTGGCGCACGTGCACTGGCAGTTCATCTTCGTTGTTCCCGGGGTTGGTGGCGGTGGTGACGGTGATGGGGGAGGAGGGGAAGGTGTGGTGGTGCTGGCCGGAAGAGAATTCTGGTTGACACATTTCTGGAGCTGCCTGTCCCAGTTCTGCTGCACCAGGAACCTCATTCCGTTTAATCCAACCATGTTATAAGTGTAACCGTTTGAGCTGAATGTTGTTCCGTAATTCCAAGAGCACAGATCCGCGTTCTCCTCCCCATTCGAGTCGAACCAGCCAGACTGCACATCCGGGTCCGTAGCAGCTTCGGAAATCTCGTGCGCGAGCGTTGAAATGGTGGCGTCTATAGCGGGGTTGCCATTAGGGGAGGTGCTTTTTACGCCGCACGAGTTGGGGCACTGGCCGTGATGACCCACGAACGCATAGTAGAATGGGGATGAACTGATATAGCCGGCCGTGTGCCATCCGCAGTATTGGCTGCAGAAGCCCGACGATTCAGTCACGTCCTTGCTGGTTAGAAGAACGTAGATTCCGTGCGGGTCGTACGCGAAGGCCTTGCCAGTTCCAATCTTGCTCTTCACAACTGCGATGGACACGGCAGGACATGGGGGACGAATAAAGGTTTGTCGAAACTTACTCGCCAGCACACTCGCATGAAATGGCGAATGCACACACACTGAGAGGGGGGGAGTTACGTAGCAGGCATCTAACAACGAACTCTTGCAGGAAAGCACGACTTTCTGAGGCGGCTGGAAAAGCGAGGTTAATAAGAAGGGCTTACTGGACAGCACGTAGTTGTCGGTGAGTGATTTGCCGTACGAGTAGTTGTCGTACGTCGTCCCCGCGAGCCGCACCTTGGAGCTCACGTTCTTCTTCGCGCCGTTGCTCGACTGATAGTAGTTCGACGAGATCGCCCACCACCCCTTCACTGTCTGGTCGCTCGACGAGCCCTGCGCGCCCGAGTCGCTACTTAAAGACCTAACGAAGTTGTCGATGTAGTCCTGTCCGGACCCCGACGGCCAGCTGCCATAGTAGATATGGTAGATGTTCACCGTGGGGTTACCCGCGACGATAGGACCTCCCCAGTACTTAATGGGCCCGCCGGTTGCGGCGGGGGTTACGGCGCCGCGGAACTGACTCAAGAGGCCCTGGGAGTTCGAGCTCAAAGCCGCGGTTCGCGCTCGAAGGCGCTGCGCGTGGGCTTGAACGGTCAGAGATATTCTTTTTCGCGGACGGGGTGCGGCTGACGAGAGGACGATGTGGGAGACGAGGAGCAGGAGGAGAAAGGGGAGCAGACGAGTCGCGGCCATCGTGGCTGTGCGGGAAACGTGAGAGGCGACGGTGAAGCGCGGCAGAGCGATGGAAGAGGACGTAGAACGAGAGGGACGGATGTGAACGTCTCTTGTATCAAAATGAAGGTGTAAGAGCCGAGAGACGTGCTCGTGCAAATCGGGAAGTGGTTAGGTCGTTGGCGGAGTGGCGCTCTGTGGAGGACGGGTGGGCGACACGCGGAAACGGTCGGGTGGAACGATGAGTGTTCGAGTGAGTAGATTTAGGATCTGTCGGGAATGTGTTTGGTTGGCTGCGGAGCGGATATAGATCACACGCGCCCTAAGGTGAACTTGAGATGCTTTGAGGAATTTCAGCGAAGCTTTTGAAGGGAATACAAGACCCCGCGCCTCGAATGAAGCTTAGGGAATGCTATCCTCGTGTATGGCGGTGCTGGGGCTGGACCGGACCCTTCAGGACTAGGCGGTATCTACGAGAATAGCAGTGTAGGTGGGTGTTGTGGTGTGATGTGCTCTCTCCCACCCGCTTGTCATCGGATTGCGGCGTTTCCACGTTCAGTTGTTTCTTGCCGGGTTCGGTTGGTGTAGGGTGGAGTTGTTGGTGGTCGTGGGGAAGTCCCCACTTCAGCTGTGTGTGGTGTTGTGGGCGCTCTGACATGTTCATGAAGCGGTAACTGGGAGTACAGTAGGGTCCTCCCCCCCTCCCCCACTAACCAAGACATGCACTGTACACAACACACACACCAGTGTTGTCTGGCAGGGAAGAGGAAACTGGGAGTGTGGGAGGGGGTGGAGGATGGTTTTGTTGCTTGCAGGTGCATCCTGTCGTGGCGTGGTTGTTGTCCGTCGGTGGGTGTCTGGAAATTTTACGCTACCCGCAGACTGCGCAACAGAAGTTGCCCGCAAGATATGTGGTTGCTTTGCTGCTGCAAATTAGGCAACTTTTCAACGTTTTTCTTCGGAGTGAACCGAAGCCGCGACGCGTGCGTGACGTGTCACACCAACCCCATGTCAATTTGCCTGGCAAAGCAGATCGGCTAGCTGGCGAAAATAACCCTGCGTGGGCGAGTCGCGGGGGTCTGACCTGTTGGAGCTGGCGACAAAGCTGGCGGCGGATACGATACGATGCAGAAAACCGTAGAACGAAATACACACTACTCGCTACAATTTTCCTCGCCAGAAATCATGTACAATAAATATCAGCACGAACTTAAATATCAGCGTTTACAATGCTGTTGCTCAATTCACATGTTCGTCGGCAGGCTCCAATTAGACCTAGCCAAAAAATGCCAAGTATCACACGGGCCTGCAACCTCTGTTAAATACCCCTACCACAGCTGTCAAGAAACCAACCAAATATACTGAGAAACATGAACCGTATGGAACAGACAGGCTGGCCTTGTCTCATTCCATTTGCTTTACTGAACCGTACCGAACCATAATCTGGTCCGGCCACCTTCAACAGTGCTTTTCCACCATGGATGTCGGTAATGGTCGAAATCAAAGCAGAGTGCAAGAGTCAAAGGGTTCGATAATGCATGAGTAAGAAGTGAGTGACACTGCAAGAGTGCAGTGAAAGAGCACAAGAGGGAAGGAGCACAAGAATGCTACAACTGCAGGAGCGCAAGAACGTGGCCTCGGAGAAATGCAATTGGGCAATTGCGGATTTGCAAGAGTGCAAGTGTGAGAGTGCAAGAGCAAAAGAGCGAGAGGGCGCAAAGTGTGAAAGTGCATGTGAAAAGAAGGGACAAAAATGCACGTTTGCGAGAGTGGCGTGTCCCGTGTTACACAGCGTGCCGTGCCGTGCCGTGACGTGCCAGTGCCAGCAGTGCTGCCGCAGATAGCACAGTCAGAACTAGTACGCTGAGTGACGCCAGTGCACATGCCGATGGAGCCAAGACAGTTGATCTGGCAGTCGCATGTGGTCCAGGAGGAGTTGTAAGCATTGTGTCTAGAGGTCGGAAGAGCGCCGGGTTGATGATGGATGGGGGGGAAGTCTTTTGAGGCGCCCTTTGAGGCACATCAAGAGTTGTCTCTAGAGGTCTGTAGAGCGCTGGGATGATGATGGATGGGGGGGATGGTGATGTAGTTGATCCTGAGTGCCTTGATCTTGCTGATGGTGGATGGCGGGGAGCCCGTGAGGTCAATGTATGAGCGGTCAGTCCCTGTGAGGGTGTGTTGGAGAGAAGGGGTTGGGGGTTGTGATGCGAGTGCGGGAAGATCGTAGTACGGTAGCAGTGATCTGGAGTTTGGGGGGCAGGGGGGGAGGTGTGGGGAATGTGTGGGGGAGAGGTGAGGGAGCGGGGGGCCAAGGGCAGAGCGCGAACAGGGTGATGGTGGGGGAGGTGGCAGGGGGAAGGCAGGGCGAGGGCAGGGCGAGAGAATTGGTGAAAGAGCGAAGGGGAGCACGAGTATGGACTGTTAAGTACAGGCATCTGAAGACGGGCGATGGATCACAAGAGAGGAACACCGGCCATGTAATGCATGAAAATGGATGCGTGTTGCGATGCGTGCTGCGATGCGTGCTGCGATGCGTGCTGCGATGGATCGAAGAGCTGTGCTGCAATGCAAGTGCAACAAGACATCAGGGACTCGGTAGCAGCGGATGGACGAGAGGTTGGCATCAAAAGGAGGCGCATGGACCATGAATTTGGAACAAGTGCAACAAGACATTAGCGCACTGGGAGAAGAAGGGATTGTGCCATGAGGGCAGGAGAGAAGACCTGGTGTGTCCGTGACCTGACCGCAGTGCACCCACGCACTCATGCCTGCTCGTCTGCAACCACACATCCCCCCATGCCACACTCCCCCCATGCCACACATCCCCCCATGCCACACATCCCCCCATGCCACACATCCCCCCATGCCACACATCCCCCCATGCCACACATCCCCCCATGCAACGGCAGGGGAGAAAGGATGGCAGAGGGGAAGAGGAGGGGGGGGGACGGGGTGCATGCGAGGGGTAGCACCAATGGGCTGAGAAGAAGGAACCGCAGAGTGGAGGGTTGAGTGGGAAGGGGGAGATGGGAGGGAGAGGCGACTACTGAGAGGAGACAAGAACAACAGGAAAGAATGGGGAAGGAGAGAGTAAAAGGTGGAATACATAAAAAATAAAGAGGCTTTGCCCCACATGCCATACATGCCATACATGCCATACATGCCATACATGCCCCACATGCCACACATGCCTTAGCGATGCCTGATGCGCTGCACCCTCCCATCCACGCACCCACGCACCCACCCACCCATCCACCCACCATGAATGCGAGCTTGCTTGTAAACGCTGAAGATATACAAGCAAGCCCGCACACATGCTGCATGCTTCGTGCACCATGCGCCAAAAACCGTCCTTCGCAACATAGGGTATCGGGTTCGGGGTTTGGGTTTACGCGTCAGGTGTTTAGCTCAACATGCCATAACAGATGCCTGAGGGAAGGAGGGGGAAGGGTAAGCGGGAGGGGGAGGGGGAGGGGGAGGGGGAGGGGGAGGGGGAGGGGGAGGGGGAGGGGGAGGGGGAGGGGGAGGGGGAGGGGGAGGGGGAGGGGGAGGGGGAGGGGGAGGGGGAGGGGGAGGGGGAGGGGGAGGTGGGAGGAGGAGGGGGGGGGGGGGGGGAGGGGGGAGGAGGGGGAGGAGGGGGAGAGGGAGGGTGAGGGGGGGGGAGTGGGGGGGGAGGGCAGGGGCAGGGGGAGCGGGGAGCGGGGATTCGTTAGATAGCGCTAGAGTGAGGACGCGACGAAGGAGGGATCACAAGGATCAGCACTCGTTGGCGCCACCGTTCGTCACGGGGAAACGAGCGCCACACACCCGGCCCTGCCAGCACCGCGCCGCCTCTCACCTCTGCTCGCGCGCGCGTGCTTGGCGCGCCGCAGCGCGGTTCCGAGAATTTTGAGCAGCGGGCGACACGGCGGGCAGCTGCTGCAGCGCGCCGCTGGCTTTAGGTAGGAGGGGAAGCGGGGCCGGCGGGAGAGGCGGAAGCGTCGGCGGAGGATGAGGGGAGGGATGAGGGGGACGGCGCGGGGGAGGCAGCCGTTGCTCCTGTGTTGCCGGCGCCTTCAACGGCGGCGATTGCGGCGGATTTAGTGGTACGGCCGGGGGGTGAGGCGCGGCGTAACGATGGACGGGATATGACGGCGAGAGTGGGAGGGAGGGGCGTGCAAACATCGCGGAAAAGGGAAGCGCGAAAAAAAAAAGCTTAAAAGTTACTGCCCCGTAATTTCTCCGTTGCATTTCTCGCGCAAAAAAAAAAAGAAGTCTTAGTCCGACTAAGGTAGCTCAAGTCACTTCGGCCGCAACCTTACCGTCACTTTCCAGGAACAGTTTGCTGCTGCTAAGGACCTTGTCGCAACTGACTTGGTATACACCTTAGCAGCAGCAATGTCTTTCTCCTCTAGTAAGACCCCGTCAAGAATATTCGAACGAATCCACGAAGCGCAGGAGCGAAGCTCTTGGCGCTTCAGATCCAGATTCACCATGTTGTAGATGGCATTGGGTAGCAGCACGGTTTTGCCGTCGGCTGAGGCGAGGGATGCGTCCGTTGGGTTCCATTGGGTCTGCTGCGGCCATGTGAATATCCGCCTTCCACAGCTCCACTCGGTTTGGCATGGCGCGAGGATTTTTCAATTGGGGTAACATTTGCAGAACGCAGGGCTGGGGGTCGTTCAGGTGAGTAGGGTTACTGTCGCCACAATCGTCGAGTCGAAACTTCGGCCGTACGAATGTGGGAAAAATGAGTGGTGACTGTACGCGTTCTTGAGTCCAATAATAATTGCAGTACCATTCGCATATCTTCCCTAAGATCTCACTTAGGACGTGGATCATCTGGGAGTTTTTCCGCGTGTTGATGTGCAGTTCCCACATGCCGCCACGTGGAGCGGACGCTAGCGTCGCTTCCCTGGAGCCGGTTTAGGAGGAACTGAAACCCTAGAAGCACTCGCGCTCGAAGTTATCGCTGGGCGACACGTGTCCCTCGGCGATCGTCAGCGACATGCGATTTCCCCCTCGTGTCGACCTCGTTGGGGTTGTCCCATCGCCACCGGCGTTGAGCGTCGCTTACGTGATGTCGCTAGACGACGAGCGATTCACAGTACCGCCGGACGCGCTGCGACAGAGTGCGTGGTGCTGGCAGAGTCGGGTAGTGCTGACGGAGACGGGTAGTGCGGGCGGAGACGGATAATGCTGACGGAGACCGGTAGTGCTGGCGGAGACCGGCAGTGCTGACGGAGATGGGTAGTGCTGACGGAGACAGGTGCGTGGTGATCCTTTCTCCCTCGCTCCCTCACTCATAAACCTATCCCACGACTTTCGTTTCCCTTCCCCCTCCCTCGTCCGCGCTCGCGCTGCGGCACGCCAAGCATGTGCGCGCGAGCAGAGGCAAGCGGCAGCGTGGCGTGGTGGGCTCGATCTCACGTGATGAAAGGGGGGGGGGGGGGGGGGGGGGGGGGGGAAGGTGCGGGGTAGTGATGAGCGGCTAGTGATCCTTATCCTTTCTTCGTCCTCCCTCGCTCTTAGCGCGTTGAACACAACACACAAATTGACTGATCTGGTCGTTCCTTTATCCCGCTGACTCAAAGGCCTTTCGGAGTTGCCGCAGTGGTGGCGTTGGCAGGCGCACGGGGATGGCGCGAGCCAGTGCGCATGCGCGGGGTGAACATGAGCATGCGCATGCACGGGGTGAACATGAGCATGCGCATGCACGGGGTGAACATGAGCATGCGAATGCACCAGGTGAACATGAGCATGCGCATGCACCAGGTGAACATGAGCATGCGCATGCACCAGGTGAACATGAGCATGCGCATGCACCAGGTGAACATGAGCATGCGCATGCACCAGGTGAACATGGTTTCCTCCGTGTCACCCAACGGGCCACCTCTGTGTCCTCCTCCTGACGCCCAGGGCTTTGAGCGGCTTCACCCATCAGGGCTGTGAGTGGCTTCACCCACCTGGGACATTGGTTGAGGAGGTGAGGAAGGGTGAAAGGGGTTGAGAAGAGGTGAGAAGGGTTGAGAAGGGTTGAGTGTGTTTTGGGTGAGTTGCAATCAGCAGGTGGGGGAACATCCGCTGTTTATCACATATTTCCGTGCCGACCGTCCAGACTAACCCTTCCCTCAGTGCATGCGGGACCCACTTGGCTTGGCTTGGCTTGCCTCCAGGCTTCTTCCGTTCATTCCTGTGCTGCTGGGCTCAACTCTTTTCCCCCGTGCTGAGCGGTGGTGGCGGCAGCGACAGGCGAGTGAGTGGTGCTCGCTCATGTAGCGCTGTCTCAACGTGCTGCTCCCCCGGCATTGATGGTGGGTGGTTGGGAGGGGGTGGGTGGGTGGGGGTTGCGGCATGTGTGGCATGCGTTTCGTGTGTGGCATGAGTGTCATGCTCATTCTCTTCTTGCTATTTTCCCGCCTTTTCCTCACTCCCTTACCCCGTTCTCTCTCACCTTTCCCATGCTCTCATTAGACGCCTCTCCGTATCCCACTCAACTCCTCCCTCAGCCGTTCCCTCTTCTCTAAACATTGTGCCTCCCAAGTTCCCTCAACCCACCCCCTTCTCTACCCCTCCACCAACCTTTTTTCCCAGCCCCAGTCTCATCCAACCGAGCTCTTGCCAACCCCTGAACCTAGAAATGGTATGGCACATGCGTGTGTGCATGTGCGGGTGCATAAAGATATGTGTTTGAGAATCCAGCTTGCACTTGTTCGCACATTGCACACATTGCCTCTCCTTCTCATTGCCTTTCCCTCTCATTGCCTCTCCTCTCCCTCTCATTCCCTCCCCCTCCCATTGCCTCTCCCTCTCATTGCTTCTCCCTCGCATTGCTTCCCTTACTTACTCATCACTCACCTATCTTGCGTCTCCCACTTATTCCCTCTCATTGTCACTCAGTACCCCTGTACCTCGAGATAAAGACAAGATTTGTCGTCCGCGCGTGGATAGCCATGTTTTTCAAACGTGACGTGCCTGCTGCTGCTCCCACGGGAGAGCAAGGGTCCAGTGCAAGGAGGGTGCAGCAAGACAGTAGGCAGCAACAGCAGTACTCCACACAGCAGTACTCCACACAGCATTGCCTTTGCTGCAGAGCTACTGCATGGAGAAGAGCCAGTGCGGGGAGCATATAGGGGGGAGATCAAAGGAATAGAAGCAGCATACGTGGCAGCAGTTGAAGGCACACGCATGGCAGGGAAAAGCAGAGGCATGGCAGGCGAAGGCGAAGGTGTTGATGAGGAGTAAAAACCCCACTCTATGCTTCAAACTCCATGTTTCAGCAGTCTCAGCCTACTCTGGTTCTTCTTTACACAAGATGCTTTTCCCCACATGTACCCTTACTAAACCATGTTTCCTATATGTGCAGGCCATTCATTGGTTGCTGTCTCATCCTTGTCCCTTCCCCCAGGTTCAATCTCGGCACGCTTGTCCCACATGCACCCCTGCCCCTGCGCCAGTTGTGCATGCCATACAGGCCATGGGCTGTGTGTGTGGCCCCTGCATCCGCTGATTCATCATCCCCGCCTGCACCACTCCTCAACCCACCCACTGCCACACCCCCCCAAGCTCTGCCTTCAACTCAAGCTGCACACACACACAACCGAAGGAACATGCCCTAAGTTTCCTGTTTGCATCTCACTCTGTAGGGCGGGTCCAGCGCGTTTGTATTTCCCATTTGGCTCCTGGGAGAAGGTAGCAGTGCATTGTGGCCATGACGTGTACTGTGTCACAATTCAAACACAACTTACAGCCAAGCATAATACATACACAATTATAAGCCAAGCATGGTACAAGACACATCTTCTAGCAAAAACACATTTTTCAGCCAAGCACAACACAAACACGCTCCTAGAGCAACATACAGACAACCCGCTGGGTTACACAAACTTGGAAAAAGAAAGTTAGTGGCTCAACCACTTGGCATATCAGGCAACCCTTGACGTGGTTGCAAGAAGGCAAAATTCACCCCGAGAACATTTGTCGAACTTGATTTACTCCTCCGGCTGCGACGCGTCGACGCCGTGGATGGTGAGGAACTTTCCCCTGAAAATTCCAGGAGTCTTGATCTTAGCCTTGCCCTTTCCGATCGCGACCTTCTTGGACTTGGTCGTCGCGTCCACAACCTCATCCGTACTCACGCTGCGGCCATTCACGTCCTTGAGCTCAGACGCCTTGGCGATGTCGTCCTCCTCGTACGTGCCGTCGAGCATCTGCGCGCGGAAGAGCTTGGTGAACGGGTCGACGTCGCCGCGCCTCAAGCCGGTTTTCACCATCATGGACAGCGCGTCCGGCGCCGAGGTAGCAATGGCGCGGTCCTCCGGCAGCATCATGGTTTTGTGGTCGACCTTGTTGAGGAAATCTTCGTTCGGGTTCCAGTCAGTCTCTGAATTATCACGAAGAAAAACAGAAGCAGTGTCAAGCCAAGCTAGAAGGACATCGTTACGAAATCTGCCATAGAACGAAATACAAACGGCGCGAATGGATTCAAGTTGCATGAAATGCGGCAGGGCTTACCCAGTTGAGGGATGACGTGGTCAAGGAGTGTGTGGGTGGCGGAATATCGGCCGTTCAGCTTGGGGTCCGCAAGCGCGTCGCGGGTCTGCTTCAATTCGTCGATGAACTGCTCCTTGGTAGGCCGCGCCGCAGCAGGCGCCAGCAGTGACGCGAGCGCGCAGAGGGCGAGAACGGATAGCTGCCACGACGCCATGGCGCGAATTGAATGTTTCCTCAAAACTCCCGTGAGTGATCGTGCGAGTGACTTTCAGCGTTGCAAAACTAAGTGAAGAATCGAATGTGTGATAAATCGGAGTGCGAACGTGGGAATTTATGGTTGGTGCGGAATGGCTTGCGCAACCCGTGGTGATGAAATTGAGCACGTCGCATTGTGACGAAAATGACTGTCGATGGTGATTGAGTTCGCAGCCAATCAGATTAGTATTTCTAGCCTCGTTAATTCGCCGCAGCGAATCAGATTAGTATTTCTAGCCTCGTTAATTCGCCGCAGCGCTTAATTCTTCCCGCCTAAATCAATGCGGCCAGGAGAGGGATTCGCGGCCCCTCCATCGCACCACCTTGCGCTTATGTCGCAGCTTCATTCGGCAATGCGAGCGGAATTTGCGCGACATGTATCTTGCGGATGCAGGGCAGGTGAGAATGGAGGGGTGAGCGGAGGGCTAGTAGGGGGGGATTCAGGTGCGACGTTGAGTGTACAGCGATTCTGGGATCATGATGATGTTCCAGAGCGGTGGAGCGTGTCCGGTGCGGTCAGGAGTTTTGTTTGCTGCGCCTGTATCTGCTCTTCCTCTCGCCAGGAGTTTGCTGCCGTTCAGAAGGCACCGCAGCTCGCACGCAAACATTTCATTTGGAAGGGCGCGAAAACGCAGAGAGTGACAGATACTGCGGAATCCATGCAGTGCAGCTCGGCAGGGGGTATTCAGGTGGGTCGAGGATCAGGGCTTGGCGGGCTGTCTTCTATTGCAAGCATCGTTACAAACACGAGCGTAAGCTTTCCTGAAATTCCATTAGCAGCAACAACATTTGAAAAGTAACTCGGCATGAAAGGAGAATACTATTTCCTTTGGAAAAAGAATACCTTTTGGGGCCATACAGGTGGAGGGAATGAGCAACCAGGGGACGAGAGGCACAACACTGACCAGAACGCTGCGAAAGGAGGGAATATCAAAGAGTCATTGTTCATAACTATTAGAACCTTCTACTGTCATGTTAAGATTAGAAGCCACTAGGGCTTAGGATTTAGGCTTAGATGGTATTGAGAGGGGGAGAGTAGATTGGCCAAAGAGGGTTGCACTAGAAAGAAGGTTACAAGATATAGGAAAGGGAATGGAGAAAGAGGGTACACCACCAGCAGTTGGTTCTAATAACTAACCTAGTACATTAGAAAGCTGTAGGCAGTAGAAAGATATGCAATATAATTCAACACAGCAGCAGTTGGTTCTAATAACTAACCTAGTACATTAGAAAGCTGTAGGCAGTAGAAAGATATGCAATATAAATTAACACACCCCCGTAACTGCCTACGGCTATAACTAGTGGTGTCTGGGACCAGGTCGCCTGGAGAGCGGTTGCTTGTAGCTGGGATATGCACAGAAACAGCGGTGGCTGACCGGCAGCACCTGTATAGACGCCAGAACGGAGGAGGGCGCAAAGGGCGCGGAGGATGGCTGGGATAACCGGAGGGCGAAGGCTGCTGCTGATTAACACCAACCGTTGGATAGGAGGAGGAAGCTGGAGGCGCACAGGCGGAGAGCCGGGGAGAAACGGCTGGAGAAGCAAACAATCGGAGGAGGATGCGGCTGGGAAACGGAGAGGAGAGAGGAGGAGGATGCGGAAGCGGAGTGAGACACGGAGACGCGGAGGAAAAGAAGAGGAGAGGCGGCTGGAGGAGAGAAAAGGAGAGGAGATGCAGCTGAATGGTCATCCCCCCCCCCACCCCCTCACACTCACCCCCCACTCACGGCAGAAAGGCGGTAAGGGAAGAAGTGAGGGGGGCGGTAGTTGCTGTCGGCTGGTCACACCCGCCACCGTCACACCCATCCCCCCCCCCCCCCCCCCCCTTGCTGGTGCATGAGCAGCAGTGGGAGGGAAGGAAAGGCGGGCGATGGCGAAGCAGGTGGCCCAGCAGCAGTGTGGCGGCAGGAGCTGCGTCACCCACCCCCGCCACCCTCGTCGCCTCGCCCTACGGTTGCTGCTGCTCGCACCGGGGGCGCGGCAGCGCGGAAGGCAGCACGCGCAGTTGCGTGCGCGGCTGCTGCTGCACGTAACGGGGGGTGGGGCAGCGCGGGTAGAGGCGGGTCGCGCGGGGCGGGCGGGACGGGGGCGGCAGCACGACGGACGCGAGGCGCCTTCGCGTCCATCGCGGCCGTCATGCTGTGCACCGTGACGAGCGCCACGACGGGCGCGACAGGAGCTGTGACGAGCAGCGCGACGGGGGGAGCGATGGCTAACGGCGGGCCCATGAAAAAAAAGTGGCTTGGGATCAGGCCAGCGCTAATAGCATGTTAAGAATAGAAGCCACTCGGGCTTAGGATTTAGGCTTAAATGGTATCGAGAGGGGGAGAGTAGATTGGCCAAAGAGGGTTGCACTAGAAAGAAGGTTACAAGATTTAGGAAAGGGAATGGAGAAAGAGGGTACACCACCAGCAGTTGGTTCTAATAACTAACCTAGTACACTAGAAAGTTGTAGGCAGTTATAAGATATGCAATATAATTCAACACGTCAGCCCCCGGATAGAAGCGCCCCTGGGGGTATAAAAAAACACTGTTTTTTAGGGGGTGGGCTTATAATCGAGGATTTTTATAAGCGCCGGCGTTTATATAATGGCAAAAATGAAAATAAGCTTGTTTTACTCCAAACTGTAGATCTCGCTCTGCCCATTATAAGCGAGTCCAAAAATAGATGGGTTCGCGAATCCGAGTCTCGCTCAGCTTGGCAGGGATTGATTCCCTGCCAACTGACTAAGTGAGTGCACGTGCTGACTAGACGCGCAGCAAGTGAGATGTGTGGGAAACTGAATATTGTGCTTCGTTTCCCTGCTAAGGCGAAATTCTTTTCCGTATTTCGAGAAGTTCTGAAATAAAATATTGACATACGCCTATAATAAATCATAAATTTTTAGGGGGTGCGCTTATAATCGAGGACTGGATATAAGCGCCCTAATTCTTTTATAAGCGTCAGCGCTTATCCGGGGCTTGCGCTTCTATCCGGGGGCTTACGGTATTACTTGTTCCGAATGGCTCGCGTTTTGGCGCGTCAGTTTACTTTGGAAGATGTAAGCGCCTGAAAATGTAATTGCTGCGATGCTATTATTCAGATATGATGACGTTTGTGTCATATACTCAATGTTAATGACATCGGAAGCATCAACCCTAAATATCCTGTCAATACTACCAACGGTTTAGGGTTTAGCCCTAAATCCATATGGATGGTATGCCATGTTGAATGCACCAACTTTAAACGCATTTGTCAGAATTCCGGCCACTAACCACTGTGATTAAATGGCTTGTTTGTGTAGCGGGTGAGTGGGCATATAACCCCCCAGGCAACGTGCCTGTAACCCTTCCGTATGATCAATCGGGGATCATCAGTGCACCTTTGACCCCCCCTTTACTGGGATGCTCTAGGTGAAACGCTGGGTTTTGAACCCGAGACCTTCGTTTTGATACCATGTCAGAATTTCAGCCACTAACCACTGGGATGAAAGGGCTTGTTTGTGTCGCGGATGATTGCGCCTATAACCCCCCAGGCCAACGTGCTTGTAACCCTTCCCTACGATCAATCGGGGATCTCCTATGCACCTCTTACAACATTGCCTCATGGTGTTTATGGTTTATGCTTTCCACATGCTATGCCATCCCAAAGTTGTGTTTTTATACTTTTATTTATTTATTTTTTGCTAAGAAGTGTCAGTTATTCGAACAAAAATATTTACTCTTTCTCGATAGCATGGAATGTAGAATGCATCAACCATAAGCACTGCGAGGCAAGATATTTAGGGCTGATATTGTTATGAATACTCAAATAAGAAAGATTGATGTGCTGCCAGTAGCAAGAACGAGACATGCAGAAGCGAGAACGAAGGTGAAGGGCCGGAGTAGCACGAAGAGTCACGTACGGTTAGGCAGCATCTGGACTGTTGGAGCAGATGGCATCGGGCAGCTTGGTATAAGAGCAACTCAGGAATTCTTCGCATTGCCACCCCCGACATCTTCGGCGGATTAAGGTGGCGTCCGGCACACGCTCTCGCGTAAGAATGGCCGGAGGATCTGGTGGTCAGACAAATTTGACCGCTGAAGCGCAAGCCAACATTGATGCGACAAACAAGGCGACTACGACGATAAGCACCGGAGTACTCGAACAACTGTTTCAGCGACCCACAACTCTGGAGCAAGGCCTCCAAACATTGCGGAAAGACGACACGTGAACATCTTCCCAACCCTCTCAACCAGCTTCAAATGGCCATGATACCCAACACCCAAGACTCCTCGTCCTAGTTGTCAAAACTTATATGTCTATATTTATGTTAATGTCGGCTGTCTGGAGGTTAGCACTAGGGGGTATAGGGGGTACAAAAATTCTCTCGACATTCTTCTTGTATCCCTCCTTTGACCTAATCAACTCATTCCTACCTCTCTAGTCTAGCTAGCTATGGCTACTAGTTAGTCATTATTTCAACATGGTATTCTGAGCAGGTCCAGCCATAGGACCTATTTTTTTTAAGGGCGCACCGTTTGACTCTTTCCTGCCCGTTCATTCTGCCCTGCCTTATCAAAATCGCAATCTGCAGCTCACTAGAAACGCCCTGCCTTATACGCGCCCTACTAGCGACGCTTAAACGCACGTTCGTGCTCCGCTAGCAACGCCCGCATGCGCATTGCCTGCGCCCTACGGGCGCTGTCTCTGCTGCCCGCGCGCTGCCCGAAACGGCCTGCGCGCTGCCCGAAACGGCCCGCGCGCTGCCCGAAACGGCCCGCGCGTGGCTCGAACTACCCGCGCCCTGCCCGCACGGTCCACGCACTACCCTGCGCGCGCTGCCTGCGCCATGCCCGTGCCCTGCGCAGCCCTGCGCGCACCCTGCTCGTGCCCTGCGCAGCCCTGCCCGTGCCCCGCCACCTGCGCGCGCCCTGCCCGCGCCCTGTGCAGCCCTACGCACGCCCTGCCTGCGCCCTGCGCAGCCCTACCCGCGCCCTGCCTACACTGCAGCTGCTACTAGGCCACTGCCGCTACTGCTACTGGCCGCTGCCACTTCTGCCCTGCCTGCACGCGCTGCTTAGCGCTGCCCTGCCCAGCCTGGCCGTCGCCAGCAGCCCTTTCGCGCCCTCTGCCCACTGCACAAGGCGCTGCGTGCTGCCCTGCTCCGCTGCCCGCGCTGTGCCCGCCTAGTGTGCCGTTCCTGCTGCGCCGCGCGCGCGCGCTGTACGCGCGCTGCCCCTGCTGCCCGTGCGTCGCCCATGCTCTGCCCGCACAGCCCGCGCCGTGCCCCGCGCCGCTTGTGTGCGCCCTTCCCGCGCTGAAGATGCTGCTCTGCCCTACCTGGCCGCCTCTGTCAGAATGAACGGACAGGAATGATGAACTAACAAGGATTGTGAGTACAAATATGAAACCCTAATGTTGTGACCCCCCTATAGGCTAACCCACTACAGCCTACACAAATACAACATGTATAATGTTTGACACACCCCCATAGGCAAAGTGGGGGAGACCTAGGGGTCACAAGACCAGTCAAGGCAAAGCAAGGCAACAACAAGCTCAGGGTGGATCTCAAGGATTCCACACAAATTCCGAGCACAAGCTAGTGGTCACAAGACCAGTTCACATGCAGGTTTATAACAGAGCAAGAGATACAGTGATCACAACCTAGCAAGAGTAAACATGCAGGTATAGATATATATAGTGATCACAGTACAAGCAAAGTCAAGAGGTAAGCAAGTGAGGTCCAGTAGGCACAAGGCCTAGTAGAGTGCAGAAGCGCTGATGGTCACGAGGCTGAAGCGCCTTGGTGAACACATCAGCAGTGTTGGCCTCAGTGGCCACGTAGCGAATACAAAGCTGACCGCGCTGCTGCAGCTCACGAGCAAGGAAGTACCGCAGGGCGATGTGCTTCGTTCTGTGCTCCAGTCTGTGCTCCTCACACAAGGCAATGGCAGCCTTGTTGTCGACGTACAGTACTGGAGGAGAACGAGGCCGCTCTCCGAGGTCGGTCAGCAGGTAGGTCAGCCAGCGTAGCTCCTGGGCAGCCATGGCTGTAGCGTAGATCTCAGCCTCGCAACTGGAGCCGAGAACAGAGGAAGAGCGTGTAGAGCGCCAAGAAACTGAGCCAGAGCCAAGGCTGAAGGTGTAACCCTGAGACGACCGCTGAGTGGCCTGGTCGTCTGCCCAAGAAGCGTCTGAGTGCCCTGTGAGAACAACTCGGTCTCGCCCTCCAAGCACAAGCCCCATGCCCGACGTACTGCACAAGTAGCGCAACACCCTCTTAGCGGCATCCATGTGCTCCTTCCTGTGACGGCCAGGAGCGACATAGCGTGCAAGGATGCTAAGAGGGTATGCAAGGTCAGGTCGAGTGCAGGTCATCAGGTACATGAGACAGCCCACAAGCTCTGGATACGGGCCACTCGGCTCTACGGACTCATCCGAAGGCAGAGCTGAGAGCGAGTGACCGGTAGGCAGAGGAGTGGACTGAGGCGAGGAGTACGTGAAGCCGAAGCGCTGGAGAACCTGCTGCACCATGTGTGACTGAGTCAGGGTGATGGTGCGCCGTGCTCTGTCCCGGGTGATCCGCAAGCCAAGATAGCTTGTCAGCTCACCCAGGTCTGTGCACGTGTGTCTCCTCTGCAGCTCCGACTTCATGTAGGCGAGTCCTGCAGTGTCAGCAGTGGCAAAGACCAAGTCGTCGACGTACACGAGGATGTAGAACGGCGGCAGCGAAGTGTCGGTGCGCAGGAACAGCGACGGGTCAGCTGTAGAAGGCGTGAACCCAAGAGCCGCAAGTGTAGTCCTCAGTGTGTCGTGCCACTCACGCGGAGCCTGGCGGAGACCGTAGACCGGCCGCTGAAGCCTCCACTGGGTACCAGGAGGAAACGACCCAGTGAAGCCAGGTGGGCGGCGCAGCCAGATCTCCTCGTGCAGGCTGCCCTGCAAGAAAGCAGTGCTGAAGTCAAGTGAGTGAAGCTCGTAGTCGCGGTGAGCGGCTATGTGCAGCAGCACCCGAAGAGTAGTCATCTTCGGGGTGGGGGAGAAGGTCTGGAAGAAGTCAACTCCCTCTCGCTGACTGAAGCCTCGAGCCACGTAACGCGCCTTGAAGACAGGCGGAGAACCCGGCGGCCGCTTCACCCTGAAAATCCACATGCCACTGACGATGTTCGCCCCAGG